GCAGTGCACCGCACCACACCACACAAGACCGATAGACCGATGCCCATCGCTTGCGTCTGAGACAGCAGACAGCAGACAGCAGACAGCAGACAGAAGAGCCTGCTGCACGTCGTCAGACGACCAGCAACTTCTTCGGCTCATTCTAGAAGCAGGTTGTGATCGGAATGGTCTTCATTGAGCAGCAGTAGTCTGAGTGCATTGTGGAGGCACGCTTGCGTGCTCACAGCTCACAGCTCGCCATGCAGCGCTGCTGCTGCAAGCGTCCGCGGTCCCTGCATGAAGGGCGCTGGCGCGGTTGACTGGGCCACGTGGCTGAACATTTCTTGCGATCTCGCGCGCGATCCTGCCGCCTCGATCGCGCTGCAAGCATGCAGCACATCATATCAAACTCGAGAAAAGTGACAGTCGCGCCGTGCATGGCAAGATGAACCGCGTACGTGCTGCTTACGGTCAATCACGCACCGGCTTTTGACTGCCGTGGTGCCTGAGCACAAGCTCAATCGCAAATGCAGTACAGCAGACCTTGGTCGCTCACGATCCACTTGAGGGTGATTATGATGCACGCGTTAGAGAGGTTCGTGATGACTGCCTGGGTGCCCCTTCCACTCACGACTTCGGCTCAACTGACCGACCGCTTTCGCGATTTGAGTGGCATAGCGCGCTGTCACCATTCATGGGTTCCCATCGTGCAGCAGCGGGCCCTGCGCTCCCGAATGCATCGCGTACAGTATGTGCCGCCAGAGCCCACCCTTTGGCCAAACTGTGACTTTCGTGTCTGTAAGTCTTGAATGTGCGCGCGCGGTGTGTCGTCATCTTGAGTGAGAAAACTACATCATCGCGCTCATCACCCCACAGCGCGCGCGACTCGATCCGCTGACGCGCTTCAAACTCAATTTCGCACCACTACGTCAACGCTTTCCCTACGCACAGTCAGAGTACAGCACCCCAGTCCACAACGGCACGATCACTAAGCGCTTTTGCAGCACACAGACAACCTACACCGCGCTACCGGAAGCTAGACCTGGCGATCAGGTGTAGCGCAACGTGGCCCAGATCGATCTACCCCGAGTTCCTGGACAGAATCTCAGTTGGACTCTCCGCCTCTCTGCACAAAGTGCTTACACGCGTCACGGCCTAGCGGATCGTGGACCACGTCAATCAGTGCAAGGAGTGGCTCCCCGATCTCACGTTTGCGGCAGCTGAAGCAGAGCATTCAGGATTGCTGGTCCCTCGTTGGCTTGCTGTCAATCGATCGGACATTCCTGCCATCGTCTGAGTGTTGCAGCGGTACATAGCGTTCCGCAGACATCGGAGATCGCATTGAAGCCCAATTCCAGCACCTTTGGTCCCCTTCGCCTGACCTGGCACGGAGATTGTGCGCGAACATGTCGGCTACTGCTGCCCGCACCGGTGAGTTACACTTCTTGGAGTCACTGAGTCCTGTCACTTGGGTCATTTGCCAAGTCCCTGGCAAGTAAGAGAGCAAACCGCCCAAGATGCGCAGTGAAGGTGTGGTCGAGCAGTGTCCAAATGAGCCGACCAAAGTCAAAATCTCGTCGAGGTGCGAGCAGTACAGTGGTCTCTAATTCTCATGAAGACAGCCTTGACTGTCAGTCTCTGCTACTCCTCAACATCATCCACCCCACATTCACTTGGCCATTCGGTTTGTGTAAACGTCCCGAGTGAATGCGTGCACGCGAGCATCCGAGTAGCGGAATGAGCACTGGGATCACTCTCGCAAGCTCGAGCAGACATCGATGCTGACGAAAGATGCCTCTCGTCACCCGACCATCCCCTTCATGCCCCACCGCTTCGCCTCGACAATCTGCGTCTCCCAACTCCCCGACTTCTTCCGACATCCGCACTGCTTTGCGAACGCTGTATGGCCAACCTCTCCGCGTGCGTGGACCCGACATTGCTGCTCGTCCCGGCCCCACACCCGTCTCACGCCCGCACTCAGCCGCAGCAGGTGAGTACACAATGGGCAGCAAGTATGGAGCAAGCTCGG